GCACCCCGGGGGGGGGTGTCGACATCAGAGTCGGGGGGTGAGAAGTTGGGCATAGCGGGCGGGGGGGGGAAGAGGCTCTGACATGGCAGAAGTCGGCCGGCCACGTATCAATGATCCTTCCACAGATCACGGGCGGCAACCTTATGACGACTTCTCCTTCCTCTTCAATGATAAGGTTCAATGGACTTGTCACAACAGCTCCAGCAGCAGGACGCCGAGGTGGTCGCCATTCAGACACTTCACCGGGCAGCAGCGGGTTGGCGAGTACGACTTGAAGCAGCAGCGGCTGGAGTAGCTCCGGAGTGGAGAAAAGGTGCCAGCTTGGGTGGCGAATGTATCTGGTCGTCTTGATGGACCAGGTCCGGCTGCAAGAATGGACTTGGCAATAGCTATCCGTGATGGCGGGGTAGCAAGGGAGGGAGGGAGGGAGGGGGGGGAGCAGAGGTTCGAGAACCCGCTCTGATACCAATGTGACGCACGTGCGTAAGGCACGTGTGGAGATGGTGAGAGAGAGAGAGAGAGAGAGGAGATGGACACACACGAGAAGCAGCCGCCGAGTGAAGGTCCAATCCGGCTCAATGAATGAATGAACCATTGAATGAATGAACCTCCCCCCCTGGGCCTAGGACGAAGTAATATACCGGCCTAGGTCCAGGTACGGGAAAACCTGGTACCGGACCAGGGTCAGGCCGACGGCCTGAAACTGGTCCGGCCTCACTCTCGGGCCGTAGGGGTACCGCTACAACTTTCCTCAACCAAGTGTCGAGGTCTTCGCCCCTCTTATCCCCTATGAAGGGTTTAGGAGCGGCGATGGCCGTCTTTGGTACCCACTGACTTTGTCCCGGTACCTGCACCAATCCGGGCTGTGGACCCTGTGGCACTGGCTGCTGCACTAGCTGCTGTTGGGGTTGTGTACCCTGCGACTGTGCAGGATGCGAGACAGCAGGCTGCCCAGTTACGGCAACCTGACGGAGGTTGGGAATACACTGACTGTAAAGGAACCTGCAAACTAGGACATGCCGAGAACCCGCCTGTCAAGGGCATACCCAGGGAAACGGGCTGGACCGGTGCTGGAGCTGTATATGGGGATACCCCAGTCACCGGTAGGACAAAAGGAGGAGGTTGTGCAACGGGTCAGGCAATTGGCCCGGACGGCGATGGCGCAGCCTGCGCTCGTCCGACCAATACGGCCAGACTCTGCTGAATGTCCTGAAGGAGAGTCGTTTGGTGGTCCTGCATTTCAACTACATCTAGCAGGACAGACCGTATGGTCCTCACATCGTCACTCATGTGCGTCAGGTCCATCTCCTCTAACTCACTAACGTCCGCTTGCTTCCGCTGCATCCTGCCTCTTCTTCTAATCATTTTCTCCTTCTCTGCCTTAATCTCTCCTAACGCCTGTTGTAGCTGTGCCTCGCGAATCGCTGCTCGCTGTATGGCAACCTCCTCGGGGGTCAACACTATTGGTTGGCTTGCCATAACGCCAGTGGACTGACTCACGGTCTGTGCGACCGTTGACCCCACAGATCCTGAACTACTAGCCTGAGAAGTTTGCTGCATGGCAGTGGCCATGGCTGCTGAAGTAGCGGCCTCGCTTGCGAATGCCCTGCTTTCGTCTGCGGCCCTAGCTCTTCTCTGCTGCTGCTGCCTCTCTCTTCGCTGGCGGAACAAGTATCTGTCGCCCTCTGGTCCTAATGCCAAATGGGCAATTGGGCGTCTGGCCGATCGCAAGATCCGGTCGTCCTCTCTAGTGTCCTCCCTGTTGCTCATAGGCTACAACACTATACACAGCCTGCACTAGGACACTCAAGATGCCTACCGCAGCATAACGTACAGACCGACTTATAACTAATTAATCGGTGGCTGTGTCAGAGAGTATATACATTTGGGTTCAACAAGTTCAGATTCCTACAAATGATACTATTCTACTTTGATTAGTTCGCAAACAGAAAGCACAATGAACAGAATCAGTTCTAACTATGTTGTCTGTCAGATGTCAATGGCAGTACATCTAACTAATCAAAATAAAAATAATCATCATTTGTTGGGTCTGTTTGCAGCATGGGATCTTACTCAAACTTATCACCTGGAATCTACCCCTTCCCCAATTCCCCTTGATTGTCACTTGACATCAGCGTCCCTGAGCAATCCGGTTTGGCGTGCGTGAGTAAAGGTGTGCACGCGGCCCACCCCTGTGCCCCGAGTAGCTGCTGAGCTGGCCAGCCCTGCACTGTGTTTATCCTCGCGTGCCCCGAGTAGCGCACACGGCCCACCCCTGTGCCCCGAGTAGCGCACAAGTGCCACAGCACTTCCACACTCTCATGCGAAGTCAGCATCTGTCCCAATGGGAGGCTGGCCAGTCCTTTATAATGTGGGACTGGTCTGGCGTGGCCTGCATTCAGCCTCAAGTGTGCCTGGGACTCCTGCCCAGTACCGATTTTTGCAAAGTGTGTGTCCCAGTATCTTTTCCCATGGTCTTCTGCTGCTTTGGGCCATCGGGCGTGTCTTTTGGACTCCCGGTCTGAATCAGGACTGACTCGTGGGATTATGACTGGACTGGGACTGCAGCCATTGACTTGTTGACGAACAGACACGACTTTTCATCGAAGAGACATGACCCTAACTCAGTCTTGAAAATTGTGTCCAATACCTGTTCGTCCAGGACCTGTTTCTGACCTTTCAAAATGACCTTTCACTTCATTATGGATGCGACATTCACCTCGGGAACTTTGTCTTTTCAGTTGCTGCTCATGATATTAAGTTCTGGCCGACAGGTTGGGGCATCCATTTGGGGTCTGATTTGTGAAGGCCCTTTTATATTGTCACATATGTATCATTAAAAAGACCGCACTTTGTACACTGAAATATTTATTTTGCCTGTTGCTGTGCAGCTCTTACTTCTCTTTCGTTCCTTTTGGTCGGTACAAGCAACCAGTCAGTGAGCGGACAACACAGGGAAAAAGGGACAATAAAAACAAAGTGTGTGACAGTTTGGTTCGCTGGACATGCATGCCACTTTGCTAAATACTGCGCCAAATAGACAGATTGACGACAAATAGGTGAACTCGGTATGATGTGAGGCGGACAGAGAACATACAGAGCAACGTTTTGCAAAGACAGGAATAGGGATTGTTTTACGGAGACGAAAATCGTTGTGTATACTGTACACTGACCTTCCTTATTTTTCGCTGTTCCTGCACCTGGTCCTGCATTCTGACGTTGGGAACCTTGTCTGCTCCGATGCCTCCCTTATCGCTCTTCAGATGTGCACTAACGGGCGCCAATCTACCCTGCAAGAGAGCCAGTGTGATTGCTGCTGTCATCAGCTTGTGTATTCAGATACAGAAAGCTTCCACAGACCAAACGTTGTCATATGCCCCATTTTTATCAGATGCTTCACATGTGCAATCTGGGGGATTCCGTCCCAAAAGGGGAGGACAGAAGTGTTCAGCTCCTCTCGCGCGTTGCAGCAGGATAACTACATTGACAACTGCGGGGATGTCAGTCCATACATGAGTGTCATAGATGCTAATCATGCTTGCAGTCTGCAGACCCTGCACAGATGTGATGCCAGTTCCTCTTCCAACGTTTGCGACGGACTTCCTTGTCAGATGTGCTCAGCAAAGGCCCATAACTGCACCAGTATGGTCCCTGAATTGTGGAACAGGGGCATAGCTAACAATAAACAGTGTTACCAGTTCAATACTGTCTGACTCTGTAATGCTAGGAGCTACCGCCAAGCCAAAGAAGGCAAAGAGCAGTTTCACTTACAAGCTACCGCCTTTCCCCGAAGACAACACATCCTTGTAGTGAATGTACACAAGCTAATTTTCCGGTCCGGTACAGTCATAATGAGGTACGCGTTATGTTCAGGGTAAGACGGTAGCTTCATGGTACACACCCAGAACAGTCCATGGTTAGAAGCGAAGGAGTTAAGCCACCAGTACATCTGGGGATGCTGGCGCCGCAGTGCACGCCAAACTTTGCCGAATCGCAAGCGGCACTCTTTTTTCTTTCTTGTTTGGTGCCGCCAGTCACTGTGGTCCCGTAGCCCCGAGCCTCCGAAATTTGAGTAGGGGAGGAAGAAATCTTGCCTGGATGGGGCCGTGTACCGGCGGTTTTAGAACAAGCCACTATTGCCAGCATCCTTCATCTGGATGCTACGTCAGTGCACGAGGAGGCAACACGTTCAAACGGCCTGCCTTCATCCAGGCAGTTCAATACTCACGTCAGGGGAAATGCTCTGGTTCAACAACCTAGGCTCCGTGGCAGTGGTGGTGGTTTGAACCAACATGAACACAAGCAACGACAATGATGAAGAATAATGTCGCATACCGTAAAGGTGCAGACCAGAACAGGAACCGACCTCTCTCACATAGTACAAGATAGCGCAGCGGAAGGCTAATATACCAATGATCCGAACAATCAATGTTGAAATGAAGACCAAACAAACATCATAATCATTCCATGGTGTGGGCGCTCACACAGGAAGAAGGCACCAGTCCCCAACCATACACAGACGAAGGTTAGACGACGAAGAGGGGAAGATGGGAATGTCGTCAACACCAAGTCTTCGGTACAGGTCCCAAATAATCCCTCGTCCAATGTCTCAAACCCAATGTCGAGTCTGAATCCAAATGCCGTCAAGTCCCAAAGTCACCAATCTCTCTCTCTCTCTCTCTCTCTCTCTCTCTCTCTCTCTCTCTCTCTCTCTCTCTCTCTCTCTCTCTCTCTCTCTCGTAGTCTGCAGATACTGAGAAGTTCGGTCGCGCATCGAAGACGAAGCTGGAGCACAGGTAAGTCTCCCTGGCCTCCGCCAACCATCTCTCTCTCTCCAACGCTACTCTAGCTCCAAATAGCGCCCAGCACTGAAGACTACTGCTAACGCTACTACTACTACTGCAGCGCTCCTCCAGAGTGCTGCTGCCGAATCCTGAAGACTGCCTCCTGCCTCCTGCACGTGAAGTGCCTGGGAAGTCCCTATGAACTACCTCGTGACTCCCTGCAGCCTGTAGGGTGGGCCAGTCTTATATAGTGCTGGCCTGTCCAGGAGGCTGCTCTTGCCAATGCCAAAACGTGCCAGACCCTGGCGTTGAAGTTCAAACAAAGGTTGTCTTGAAAACCGGCCAAAAATGGCCTGTGCTAAAACCCTGGTCTGGTGCCTAAGTTTCAGGGCAGGTCGACTTTATGAGGGCCTGAAAATGGCCCTCGTTTTCAGGCTTTTAGACTGAAATGACACAGGGCCTGTAGGCCCTCGTTTTCATGCTTTTAGGCTGAAACGACACAGGGCCTGTAGGCCCTCGTTTTCAGGCTTTTAGGCTGAAACGACACAGGGCCTGTAGGCCCTTGTTTTCAGGCTTTTAGGCTGAAACGACACAGGGCCTGTAGGGCCCTGAATTTCTGTCTGGTCGGGCCTTGCAGGCCCGTGTGGCTGCGCAGTATGTCACAATAACCTTGATTGTACAAAAGCAAACGACAACCAAAATTCTGACTCGTCACTGACAAAAGCTGCCATTCTTGTATTCTCATTGCGAAACTGTCGCTGGATGGTGATTAAGTGGCACTGTTCACGGACAACCCGCTCAGCATGTCATCATCACCAGTCTCACTTCCAGTGATCCACACATCCATCGTTCCTGAACGTGGTCAATACAAATCTTTGCAGCTTCAGGAAGCTGTAAATCACAACTCCGTCCACAACCTTGGTATTTTGAATTTCCTCATCTCAGTGCGAAATTATCAGCTGCTTCTCAAGCCCGTGGGCCTTGACAAGTTGTCACCGAATGTTGTCTTTCGCCTTCTCCTTGCTACTGGACTTGTTCACACACCCACAGCCTGTATGTTTGCAGCAACTCTTGTCTAAAGGGGCAATACATCAGGGATAAGTTTTGACTTCCTCGTACTTGCCTATTACTTGCCTGGGACCTTCCTGTACCTGCCTGTACGTGCTGATACCTTCCCGGTACCTGTCTGGAGGCTGGCACACATAGAACCATTGATCCATAGTTTGAGGGTTTGATTTCTGACGAATTTGACAGTCGTAGATGGGGCATGAGTGCAAAGTGCTTCTGAGCATAGATAGCCTGCCAGCCACTTACCAAAGTTGCCAGAGAATCCGATAATGGTACAAAATAGTTGTTACGACCCTGGCCAATTACAAAGTGCAAAATCACGAAAAAGTACAATGCCGTCCAATTGCAAAACGAAATGAATGAACTTGAGAGGAGAGAGAGGGAAAGAAGAAGAAAACGAGAGAAAGAAGAAGATATACACCAGCAAAAGACCAATGATAATTCCCCCTTCTACTTGCCAACCGAACTCCTTTTCCACTCCCCTCTTATTCAAACAATAAATAATAATAATAAGGATGAATGGCAGAACCAGACTCAATGTCTGAATCCCTCTTCTACTGCCAGCACAACAAGAGGTCCACCATAGCCATGGCCGCCCTCTTCTCTCTCTTCCTCCAGGCTGAGGCTATGGCGGACTACTAAGGGCCTTGCCCTGACATGCAAAAGACCACGCAAAGCAGTTGTGGCCTCTTCCACTCAGGCCGCCATGGCTGACTCTGCCTCAGAGCTGCTTGATGCAGCTCTACCCCAACGGCGGCTTTCCAGATGCAGCGCCCACCAAGGTGATCAAGATGACATCCACCATAGCCAGGTAAGTACCCCTGGCGCTCCCCTCTCTTAGTCCCCTTCTTTCTCCTCCTCCTACCCGAGCTCCTCCACCATAGCCAAGGTGGAGAGCTGGGCACCCTTCTTCCCACCAGCACTCCAGCAGCGTGACGCCAAACTTGCACGCAGCAAAATGAGGCTGAGCATCTCGCTCAGCCTGGAGATATAGCGGCCAACCTCGGCCTCCAAGCAACCGGCACCTCCTTCCTTTCGGAGGGAGTACCTGCCTAGACCTAGCCTACCGCTGCTGGGCCTCTAAAAATGTCAACCTTTTGTCTTCTGCTCGGCCTCCAGTTCCTGACACATCTACTGCATTTTTAAGTGGTACCGGCTTACCTTCTACTCGAGTGCCCCCGGCCTACAGCAGAACTACTCGAATGTGCCCTAAGCTACCCCCTTCGACCAGTCGAGTGTTTTTCCCCGCAGCAACCCCAAAGTCGCGGCCACATAAGTACCGGCCCTGCGGGGCCTTCCAAGCAAACTAGTGCCCTGGCGGGCCACACGCACACTCAAGCTGACAAGTACTCAGACAGGCACACAGACCAGCAAGCATGCACACACACAGACTTAGAAAACTCAGCAAAAAGCGGGAATCTCAGCAAGGCACTCATTCCAGCAGCAAACCTCAGAAATCAGCTCTGTTCTCAGTCTGTGTTTTGGCAGGTCCTTACACCGGTGGAAGAGTGAATGGAGTTGTTGTACAACCCCTTCACCGCATACATCTCTTCATCCCACATTTCCTGGTCTAGGATAATTAAAGCGCGGAGAAGTTGTAGCACAGTCTGGTTAATCTCCTCTGCCAAACCGTTGGCTTTGGGTTGTCGACAAGATCTCATCTTCAGTTTAATACCATGGAGAAGTGAAGTCCTTCCAATCGGTACTTATGAACCAGGGGTCCTGATCACTCACAAGGGTTTTCAGAGTCCCATGCTGCATAATGTACTTCTAATGAAATTCACGAATCACATGTTCAGTTGCGGCGTGAGGTGGCAATGGAAGCAGATTCAAAAACTTGGAAAAATGGTCAACAATCACCATCACTTGCGAATATCCATTATTACTCAACTTACCCATATCCGTGAAGTCAATAAAAACAGACTCTCCACGACCGTCAGGAATGGGAAGAGGTTTCAGCAGCCCCATGGGTTTTTGCCTCAATGGTTTGATTCGTTGACGGACTTGACACTCAACCACAAACTTGTGGGGAGATACTTTTGCACCACGCCAATTAAACTATTGCAATAGACTTTCGTATGTCTTTGCAAAACCGAAGTATCCACTCCGGCCATGAGCCAAGTCCAAGAAGTGAGTGCAGAGAGGCTCATGGTTGGGTATACACAAACGGTCATTCTTTCCGTAGCATCGGAAAACCACACCCTCACACTCGTGGAAATCAGGCTACTTCCAGTGGTCCAGTGCCTCATGTTGAGCATAAAGCTCACGCATGTAGGTGGAAGTAGCTACCTTTTCTCTGGGCAGGTGTTTGCTGTAGTATTCGAGAGGATGCAAGCCATCACCACCATCTTGTTGCAGCACTGTGCCAATCCCATATTGGCTCACATCTGTAGTGACTACAAATATGAGTTTGGGATTTGCGATGCGGAGCATAGGAT